AGATAAAAAACTAACATGCTTATTTGTACGGCCGATTACTAGGTTTTAACAACATAAAAGCAATAATAAATAATTTAATATAAACTTATGCCAATCAATATGTTACCCCTTCAAAGCAGACGAGAAAATGCGGCAAACAAAAATAAAACATAGTACCTGCACGATATATAATAGCGAATACAAATAGTGGTATAAGAAAGCTAATACTGGAAAAATTAGTATCAATGACTTATGAGTTGCTTACATCTGACCCTTCCGAATACGATTTATATAACTGAAACATTTCAGAATCCAATTAGTTAAGAGGTACTCAAGAATATGTACACGCTATACAAGAGAAGAAATATAGAGACTAGCAAGAGGAAGAAATAGGATATACGCACTTTGCCTTTTGTCTTTGATGTCAGACGGAACATAGATAATTTGTCTTTTTGATTGGACGGTGAAGGAGAAGATTCTTTTTTGAAGAAGAAATCTGACACTGCTTGAATAATACTCTTTCTTCTTTCTGGATCTTTTGTCTTTTGCTTCTTATCTCTTTTCACAACAGCAACAGAGCTATTTGACTTCGGAGAATCAGCATGTAACAGTTCATCCATTGATTTTGCATTGGCAGTAGATAGGCCAGCAAAGTTTATTGCCTCCGCCACGACCTTCATATTATCCGTACTCTTGCTCGTTTGTAATTTTAACCCAGTCTTGATCGCTCCAGAATTGTAGTGTCTTAGACGAGGTTCATACGTGTCTTCTTTAGGTTTCCTTTCTTCCATGGAAAGTTGTCTTCGTGCCACTTTCATTCTCAGTTCTTTGATTTTGTCTTCTGGACTGAGACCTAGATCTTCGTCACTTTTTAATCTGGCTCTTTCTCTTGCATCTTGTCTTGCCTTTTCTGCTGTTCTCTTTGCTTCTTCGTGTTTCAATCTCGGAGGTGCGACCGGCGTTCTAAAGATATCTTCTCTTTCACTTCCTATTTTCATTGATATAGTATTTTCAAGCGACTGAATATCAGTCTTATTACTTCCTTCATTCATGGACTTTTCAATCTCTGATTTCCAAGGCAACTGCTGTGTTTCATAAGATGTTTTATTTTCTACAGATCTCTTAGTTTCAGTACGCAAGGGACTATTTTCTGGCGTTGTAATGGACGTAGGCGTAAATTTATTAATTAGTGAAACATTAGGAATAGGTGGCCTTATCGGCGATAAAGTTGGAGTTGAATTGAACGATGAAGCTCTGGCAGCTCTTCTTGCTTTCTTCTCTGCAGACTTTTGCTTATGAGCTTCCACTTTATCCATTAATAAATCTTGTATTACATTCTTTTGCTTGGACCTTTCTCTGGTGATTTCTTCCAATTTCCTAGAGGTAGCCGGAGAATTAAAGCTGTTGTTTATCGTAATTTCTTGATTTTTGATTTCTTCTGCTATCATCTCAGCGGTACGAGATTGCAGAGAACTTTTAGAATTCTTCCGTTTTGATTTTCTGATGTCTATAGAGTCTTTCGCGTTGCTAAATTCAGCGATTCTAGATTGTAGTCGCTTCACATATTCCAGATAGTCAGGATTGCTCGAATCTGCTGTTATTTTCGTTTCTTCTTTTTGCTGCTCAGGTTCCTTTTGAACTTGGTTCGGGACTATTGAAACTTGTGGATTTACAGGACTGGCAAGAATAGTAACTACTTCACTGGTAGTGGTGTCTTCAGCTGGTTCAACGATAAGCAAACTATCTTCCTCCATCGATTGGAACAACTCTTTATTTACTGTTTCTACAATAGATTGATCTTCTTGAATGGAATTCGATTTCATTTCTATGTTTGATGTAACATCATTGTCAGATTTATTTATAGCATCGTTTAGCTTATTCATAACATCATCCATAGTAACTGGATTTATTTCTATCACGTTCTTGTCGTTGTAAATCTCTTCCTCTGAACACGAATCATTCTCTATCTCTAATTTCGCGATAGGAGCGTCGGCAATTAACTGATCTCGCGCACCTGTAAGCGTCGGCGTGCTTTTAATGTTTACAAATTCTATATATCCTCTATTCTTGAGCATAACAGTATTAGAAGCATCTTGTAAACTATCATCCAAGAGTGATTCATTATCTGTGTCCATAAAATCTATATTTTCACCGTTAGCTAAAAGTTTTGAGGTATTGTTAACAGGAACATCTATCTGTTTGTCAAACTTCGAAGAATCTAAGTCCATGTCTGTTAAATCTTCCTGTTTGGCTATCGTAATTAGAGTACGACCTGTCTTCGAAGCATCTGACAATGTAGGTTTCCTTCTCGTAGTTATAAATTCTGGATTAATATTGAACTCAACGTCCCGCAGATCATCTGAAACTAGAACCTCACCATCACGGGCCCACTCGGAGAATTCTGTTTCAGTAAGGGCCGCTGTAGTGATGTCATTCTCTTCAGAATCATCATGCTTATTGGAAATGGCAGAAGTTATCGATGTAGGAGTACTGCAATTGCTGATGCTCTTCTTACCTTCATCCTGTAATTCCAACTGCTCAATCTCATTCTTTATTAGCTCCAGTTCCATCGAGGCTTTATTCACGGAAGAAATTGGTGTGGAAATTGTAGTGTTTATCTTACCGTTCAACTCTTTATCACGCAAATATGAACATTCTATGGAATCTGGCTCGAATGACTGACCATCGTCGAAATCTTTAAACTTGTTGGCTTCCTCATCCAACAGCAAATCTCCATCCGTACTGTGAATCTGTAAACGTGGCGGGGATAAATTTACGATAACTGGTGGCTGGTCTTGCGCTTCTTCCTCAGCTTCTTCACCATCGCCAGAAGACAAAGAATCGCTGTCTATCTCCGAATCTCCTGTACTCCCCTCTTTTGCTTCTTGCTTGTTTTTGCTCCAGTCGACTTGGGGTACAATGATAGAGGTCTCGTGCAAGGGACTTCGTGGTCGGAAACCATTGTTCTCATCTGTGCTCGCGGCAAAATTGCTCTCTGTAATCTGAGCGTTTCGCACATTTTCTAATATTTGTGACCCCTTAACTGTATGCGATTGACTAGATGCCATCTGTTCTTTTGCAAGCTCTTTGCTACCCACGTCCTTGGATTCGCTGCAGACAATATTAGGCGTTGTTTTTGACTTCAATATACTAGATTCCTTTACCAAGTCTGGCAAGTGAGTTTTCGATATTTCAGGTAAGATCGTTGCTTTATAAATAGGATTATCGTTGTTTAATAAATTCTGCGAGGAACGATTGGCAATGTACGGCTTCACCGGAGACGACGAGAATGCAGCTGTGGGCGATATAGGAGAAAGTTGAGTATTATTCGATCGTAGTTTGCTCGTTCCTTGCAAGAATGCTTGCATCGTAGGGCTTGGCTCTGGTGCAGGATTTAAAAGTTTCTGGTGTTGAGAAATAGCATCTGAGAAGTTCCTTAACTGAGTATCTACATTCGAGGCTGAGCCTGACTTCATAACAGAACCACCAAAAGCCGTGCCACCGAGTAAATACTTCTTTTTCAATTCTAAGGACAATTTAGACGCGATACCTTCGGTAGAGTGAGTGCGATTCAGTAGATAATCTCCTTTGCGTGGATTTATCAAGGGGGCTATATTCGTATTGTTGAACCCCAACAAATTCAGCTTGCCCTCTTTCTCGAAATGAGGATTTATATTATGATCTGCTTTGAACTGCGACCTCGCATCTAAATCTTGATCCTGTTTCAAATTCCCGTTTATCGATGAGATAACTTTACTTTTCACTTGAACTCTCTTAGGCTCGACGTAATTCCCCCTTGTCTTGCGAACGTACGTATCGTTAATTGTGATTTCTGGAATTTCATGCTGCGTCGGAGTTGCACCATCGTGTTCGAATTCAGAGTCGGTTGATATCTCCGTAGCTGAATTTTCTTCGCTTTCTTCCGATGTACCTTCGTTGGAGGCAACCTGCGAGATTATATATAGATTAACGAAGGAATGACGATATTAAATGTCGTGTGAGAAAGTGAAAAAAAAAAA